AAAGGGCAACTGTTTCAGAATCTGTCTCTGTCGTTATGCTAACTGAGTAAGTGTCATCATAAATTTCTTTTAATACTTCTTCTGCATTTAAAGATTTTCTTGGTATAAGCTGTTTACTATTTCTCTTTTGCTTTGCATATTTATTTTCTCCCAAAACATACGATTCATTCCCAGCAACACTACTGCATGCTACATCTTTCTTTTGAATTTCAGTTGACATTTCAGCTGCTTTCATTCCTAATGATGGATCTTGTCCAGTCAGTGGTGAACTTGAATTTGTAGCACTTGATTCGTTGCTCTTCATTGAAGGGCTGGAATGGGCCAAAAGACTCTTCCTTTTGTATCTCGGTGTAGATACAGCATATTTATCAGCTTTGGAAGTGTCGGTCAAGCTTGCTTTGTTTGTTACATTAGCTGTCTGTTCTACTGGTTTTCCAGCTTGGCATATTTTATCAATGCATTCCAAGGATTCCATTCTGTATGTGTTGGGTGAACATGTTTCACTTTGGTTATTCTCTGTTTTTAATTTGGTTGTGACATATTTAATTTTTTTAACGCCTTCAGAGTTTTCTAAATCCCTGTGTTCCTGTGTTGAAGTACTATCTTGCAAATGTAAATGACCAGCGTTTTGATTGTCTCTTGGCTTGTCTTTTGAAACAGAAGTTTGAAGACTTTCAGAAAAACTCTTGGAACCATTTTCTTCAGCAAAAGTGTGATTAAGTTCTACATTGTTTTGATCTTGTTCTTTAATTTTAGATTGTTCAATATCCTCACCAATGATTGTCTCTTTTTCGTTAGTCTGGATCTCTTGATCAGATGAACATGTCACTAACGAATTTTTTTGAGCATTAGTCGCTGCAGAATGAACATAAAATTAGAAAACAAGTTATTTGGTTAAAGAAATATGTTGCAAAGAAAGGCCAACTAACAAGCAAAATAAAGGTTTTGAAAGTAATGAGCTATAAAGCAGGAAGAAAGGAAAGAAGGGTGATTAAAAGAGTAACTAATAAAAAAAGGGTAAGTTTCTAAAAAGGCCTCTGCAGATGATTTTAAATAAAGTCAGCATGGACCTTTTCATACCATAGACCAGTGCTATCTTGAAAATTAAAAACTATATAGACCCAGATACAAAGGAAAAACCGTTGGTCAGCAAGCAGGGGGGCGATAGGAAGGAAAGATGTTGGGGGAAAAGGAATTTGTAAGTCTCTTCTAGACTGAGACTGGAAAGAATGGAAAACTGTTGCAAATTGGTGTTTAGCTGAAGTCTCTAATTTATGACATCACTTATTTGTTAAAGGGTATAAAAAAAGTCAATTTAAAAAGGGTTCATTGTTAATATCTGACTGAATATTGGAGTCAACAAATATGAGTCTCGGTATCCATGGATTTGGCCCATATGAGCAAATGCTTATAAAATATTTTATTACTCTTTGGATATAGGAAATTATTATTACTACTACTACATAGCATTTGCAGACTTTTTTAGAGCAATTGCAGAAATTCCCTTTGGCCTTTGGATTTAATAAAGTAATCTATGGTTAAATTAGTGTTCTAATATTCTACATAAATAATAATTCCCATGGTGTTCACTAACATTTTATCACATCATCTTATTGTTTTTTAATATCTCACCTGCTAATTGTGGAATAAGTATCTTTTCGTTGCCATCTTTCTGTGTTTTCTCATCAATCTCATGTTTCAACAATTCATAAAGTTTGCTGAACGGAGACATCTCATTTTCTCTTCTGTTAGATTTAGCTGTCTTGTATGCTGACTTGGGTGTTGCATGGTGTTTGGCTGGTACCACTCTGGAAATATCTTCTTCAGTACTTTGCTTGTCATTTTCACCAAAATTTTGGCTTTCACACTCTATGTTCTTATCTAGATAGTAATAAAGAACCATATACATATACCATTTATTTTAAAACCGAAGGACTGTTATTAAATGAGTCGAAAACCAGATTTTTTTCCTTGGTCAAGATTTGCTCTTTTGAATATAGCAGCAACAGCAATCAGGGTTACATTGGGATAAAATATCAGCACTGAAGTTTTTGCCCACTAATCAAGCTCTGTTTGCAATTCCATTTGAATTTTTATAATACATTCGTCAGTAGTTAAATTGTTTTTGATAATTATGTTGTATTTAGATTTACAATTAGCACCACATTGAGATACAGTGGTTCATACCTCAGAGATATTGTCTTCTTAGAGAATCAATGACTACACTGCAGTGGATCGATCACAAGAGCCTCCACATAAGAGAGGTCAATGGGTGGTAATTTCAAATTAGTAGATGAACTTCACTGTTAAAACTCCAAATAAGTTAGTTTAAATAAATACAGAATTACCACGGTAATTTAAACAGTTTTGCTTGTCCTCTATATTGATCCTGTGATGCATGATCATGGCAATTGCCACTAAGGTTCTTCCCCTTGTCTCAGCATTGCTTGGCTGGCTGCTGACAAATGCTAGTATACCTTGATTTCCCTATAATTCCTGGACAAGTTTCTCACCCTACACAAAAATGATAGTGCAGGATGTTTCAAAGGGCCATGCTGAAGCTTTGTGCAAAATGTAACAAAGCGTGATTAGCATGAGGTAGGCAGACTGTAGTCAAGGTGACCTCTGGACTATGAAAACAGGTGTTGATACAACAACAGGACACTTCAGGAGAAAATGTTACGTATGGGTCAGTAACAGCAAGACTTTTTGCAGTGACAGTGCAACCATGATAATGGGATTTGTCCTCAATAGATACTTAATTTATTATGCTAACACTAGTTGAGACTTGGTACTAGGATATCTTACACCAATTGACCGTCTCTGAAAAACCCATTAGAGCAAATATGTGGTGAAATTGGCAATTTCCACTGACAAATTACGTCAGTTGATTGGTCTTAGTGTAGACAAAGTCCCCATTTCTCCATCTGCTGCAGATCGATTGCTGGTGAGAAAAGGTAGCAACGCTACCATGGAATTTTAATTCCTGTATTATCTTGACTTCCTCAGGGTCAAATACTGGGACAAAAAACCCACAGCACCTCTGCATTTGTACTCTCCTCATGGAGCTGCACTAGTGAGAGCAGAACAGTAGCAAATTATGAAAAAGCCAAGTACGCACATACGTATGAACAAAAATGTGCAGCTTTCCAGAGTAGAACACCTATAAATTCCACCTTCTGAATCTGTTTCCTGGGTGCATCTGAAAATTGTAACTCTATAATATATAATTAAAAAAAAAAGTCCCTTCCTAATAGCATTCAAGAATAGATATAATATTTGCTGTGGAGGGTAATGATTCTTTTCCACCTCAGACATCAATTAAATGAGTGATATTTTAATTGCAATGGTTAATTTTGCCCTCAAAGTATAGGAGGTTGACTACTATAGTGAATCTTTTGACGTTTTCCCATCTTCTTTTTGTAAGCATGCTAAGAATAAAATGTAATTATATACTATTGAAAAAAAGCAAATTAGATGAAACAGCTACCAACCAGAGGTATGAGGACTTTTAGATCTTGG